TAACCATCAACGTTGATCGAACAAGACAAGAGCGTGACTACACCTCTTGCCCAACGTCCGAGGGTTAACTCCGTCTCGTCCGACCCCCGGGGGTTGGCTCCGCCTCGCCCGACCCCTGAGGGTGGGTCCGCCTCGCCCGACCCCTGAGGGCTGGCTCCGCCTCGCCCGAGGTCTGAGGGCCGGTTCCGCCTCGCCCGACGTCTAAGGGCTGGCTCCACCTCGCCCGAGGTCTGAGGGCCAGCTCCGCCTCGCCCGACGTCGGAGGGCCGGTTCCGCCTCGCCCGAGGTCCGAGGGTCGGTTCCGCCTCGCTCGACGTCTGAGGGTTGGCTCCGCCTCGCCCGAAGTCTAAGGGGTGGCTCTGCCTCGTCCGAAGTCTGAGGGTTGGTTCCGCCTCGCTCGACATCTGAGGGCTGGCTCCGCCTCGCCCGATGTCTGAGGGTTGGCTCTGCCTTGCCCGAGGTCTAAGGGCTGACTTGTCTACGCATTGCCCCTTCATAACTACGCGCGCAGATAAAGGCGGGGCACTCAAGTCAACCGTAATACCGAGGACCATGTCCTGCACGCCTGCAGGAAAGTACCGTCAGGATATGACAAGACGGGCGCTTTAAGCCCTTCCAGGCATGTCAGAGCCCGAACAGTGTTGTAGGCGTCGACATTTGTCTTACAGTGTTGTGGGCGCCGCCATTTGCTCTCGGGCGCGGATCCTGACAGAAGCATACGACAACCACTACGGTCCAGGAGGAAATTCGCTTCACCTACAGTAACGGATGTACGGTCACTGAACCGTCTGCTCCCTCTAGGGCCGCGGATCAGCACCCTGGTCCGCCGCGCCGCCCACCGGGGTAGGATGGGACGTGACAACTTGCTGACAATGCCAGGACATGGCATCATTAGCGGACAGACGCCCAGCATGGCCTATCAGGATCAGCGGACATGCACCCAGCATGGAGCTATCTCTAGCACCGTCTGCCGTGTCAGCGGGACTCGCTCAAAGGAAAAGGAAGACCCGACATCTTTGAAGGGCCTCCTTGGCCTCTAGTTTTTCTTCTTTCTCCCATCTATAATCACTGCTTCCCCTTGTTCTATAAAACGGAAGGCATGACACCCCACTAAAGGGATCGATTCAAGACATCACACATAACAGAGCAGCAACCAAGCGCTCTGCATCCATTCGATCTTTCCACCAGAGACTTGGGTCCCGTCCCTCTCTCGCCAGTTTGTACCCCCTACTACGAACTTTTCAGTGCAAATAACACGAGCAGCAACCACGAGCTGGACGTAGGAACATTCTGCCCGAACCAGTATAAACCTTATGTCTTTTTAGCACACCATCCAGGTCATACGCGCAATAATACAAATTTACTCGTTAGTATTTACTCGAAACACCGACACATGGCCCATGATATAAAAACAGAAAAAAAATACAGAAACTGAACTGTTGGCTCATAATTGGGTGTCTATGTTTTCCAATTGGATGACTCGTAATCCCTTATTCATTCAGTTCTTTTCTTGAACACTGAACTATTGGAGTAACTAGTTCATGTAAAATAATTTTATAAATTGTCATCACTAATTACTAATCCTTGACCGTTGTGACTATAGCATAATTTTTCCTGTCGTTCGTTTGAATCATTTTTTGTACAGGAGAAAATTATGGAGCTGAAACACACTTGTCACAATCTGTTCTACATACTCCCTCCGGTTCTATAAAGCAAGTCGTTTTGGACATCGACACGGTCTTTAAGAAACGACTTTGACCGCTACTTTTTGCTATAAAATATTTATAAAATATAGTCAATATATACTTTTATGAAACTACATTTTGAGATGAATCTACTTACGTCACTTTCATATTTTCAAACTCAACCCAAAAGAAGTTATTTGTAGTCAAAGTTTAAAATGTTTGACTTAAGACAACCTCAAAACGACTTTCTTTAGAGAATCGGAGGGAGTAATGTGTAAGACTGACATGAAAACCCATCATTTCAGAATTATACTGAAGAATGACACCATGGAGAATTACACTGAGCTTACTAGGATTTTAATTTGCACATGACATTTTATCCAAATGGTACTTGTCAGCTTATATAGCAACTGGAAAATCATGACTCTAAGTGGACAATACCTAGCGCACCTGAATTGTGCCTCTTTCCGATGATACTTGAGACTTGAGAGATGAGAAGGGCAGCAACTCCAGAGTAGGGGAAATGGCTGCAACTTTCCGTAAAACAGCAAGTTAAATCAGAAAGTGACAACCACAAGAGCCATGAATTTTGCAAAGTAGTAATCCATATTCTCAAATATCAATTATCAACCAAGTATAAATCCTCCATTTGCATTTGCAGGATGGGGAACCACCAATAAACTATTCCTTCATTATTTCTAGATTTATATACAACTATATCAGATATTTTAAAAAAAATGGATTCTTTTGACGTGGTTGTATAGACATTGAACTCGATAGCCTTAACTTCCCAATCACAATTCTGAGTGGCAGGGAGCCTTTTTAACAAATTGCGCCTGCGTTAGATAGCAATAACAATGGTGGGTGAATAAAAGGAGAGAATTGCTGGATATACACAAAAGAACAGGAAAATCAAACTCGAATGCTTCTTGACCTAGCAACTCAAAGAAATTTTCTATCACCACTCCCGCTCGCCTTAATGAATCTAAGAACCTCCTTATATGCGGATGATGTAGCAATTTTCATCAACCCAAGTCGAGCAGACTTTACAAGAGAACAAGTGGATTCTACAAATGTTTGGAAGCATAACAGGGCTAGTCACAAACTTCGAGAAAAGCTCCATCCACCCGATCCCGGTGTGAAAACATCAACCTAGAGAATGTCCTTTTGCCCTTCCCTGGGGCTGCAAATCTTTCCCATGCCGATACCATAGGCTCAAACTCCATACCCGATCCCTACAAAAAAATTCATGTACAACCACTAATTGAGAAGATCGGGCAGTGTCTACCAGGCTGGAAAGGTAGGCTTTTAAACCGGGCAGGCCATCTTACTTTGTTAACCTCAGTTCTCTCCTATGTGTCAACCTATCATCTCACCATCTTCCCCCTAGCAGCCTAGGTGAGAAAGCAAATTGACAAGATTCGTCGTTCGTACCTTTGGAAAGGAGAAGAGAAGGCGAATGGTGGGGCACTACAAGGATTTTACCCTAAAGCCACGCCTAAGAATGGTTGCAATATGGATATTTTGGTTGCAATATGGGCATTTTGGTTGCAATATGTAACAAATGCTTCGGAGTCCGTTTCGTTGTGAATCATGGTTAAGTTGCGATACGTTATTACGACTCACTTTTGATGTGTTGTGATACTATGCCTATCACAATGAGCATAAAAAGCAAATGCCATGCACGATATGGTCACAATAACAGATATTGCAACCAATTCTATCGTTGCATTGGTAATTGTCGCCACGATACATGTGGTGGCAATAGCTAATATTGCCACCACAAGCATTTTGTTACAAGTTCGAGTAAATATTGCAACACCATTGTTGCGTGGGAATAGAATTAATTGCCACGTATTGTTTTCCACTGCAATAATAGTTTTTGCATCAAAAATCATTTTGGGGCTATATCTGTAGTAATTGCCACGTACCATGTTTCATTGCAATAACTTATGTTGCCACGTAAATTATTTCATTGGAACAAGTGGTCCTGCAACACGCTATAATAGTTGCATTTCCATTTATTGCGACAAGAAGGTTTTTTGTCATGCCATGATAATATATTGTTGACGCAAAAAATTATAACAATATTATAAATTTCATCATCACATATATAAAATCAATCTTCCATTAACTTTGATGAATCTTCAACTAGAAGGTACAATCATAATAATGTTAGTAAATATGAGCACACTAGAAAAAAAGCATCCTCTCAGACTCTATGATTGACATAACAAAAGAACTATATCTTTTGTCACTTGAAGTATGGCTTCCGTTAATCATCTCTTCATGAACTATCACCAGCAACACTAGGCATGCATCGTCCTTTAATTCTTCTGGCTCTCCACGTTGCCTTTGCAGTTAATAAACAGCCACATAATGAGTAAACCTAATAGGAACCTTGATTTCAAAAAAAATTGCTAGCATAACTTTAAGTCTACCAAAATAGCAGTAAGGTTTAATCAAGAAAGGTTGCATGTATAGCAAATATGTGATCTACACATAGGTTGATTCCAACAAGGAAATTGGCATATACTTATATGTTTAGAAGTCTTCAGCCTTTAGATCATATACGGATCAAATTAGCAAATTTTTATGTGCTCGAGAAGTTTTCAGTATCATATGTATAGAACAAATTGCCAAATATTTATGTGCGGAGCAATTTTTTAATAAAGCGTGTAACATATACAAATATTTCCAAGGCTGGTGACTGGTAAAGTAGTATTGCATTTCAATCTAAAATAATTGAATAACTTATAAAAGAAGAGATGAAATAATTCAGAATTTGGCGGCCAAAATTACAGTACTAATGAAACCAATGGTCTCAGAAAATAGGTTAAATGAGTCAAATATCCACCTAACTATATGCAATGTATTGCCCAATGAAAAATATCATTTCGTAATAAACAGTGAAATGATGGAAAGGAACGACAATTTTCCATGCAGACACCTCCGAAACGGCATCATGATTCATCCTGGAAACAAGAAGCGGCGCGGTTCCCATCCGAATATCCAATGTGATGGGCGACGGCGCCCCTAACCTCTGGGTGTCGGACTCGGTCGGAAAAGCCGGGGACGGGCCTGGCGGGTTTTCCTAGTTGGATCCATATAGTCCTAGTTCCATGGAGAGAGATATATATATATATATATATATAGTTCCATGGAGATATATATATATATATATATATATATATATATATATATATATATATATATCTGGTAGGGAACTAGGGATAGCGGTAGGTACTTTGAACCCGATCGATCGAATTGAACAAGCGCAAGAGATCGATCGACTGCGACTGCATGCTTCCATCTATGGACAAGAACAAGAAGCAGCAGGCTGGCAATAATAATGCACAAGCACGGACGACGATCATCCCTGCTTCTACGTGCCTGCTGAGGCGTCTGGCTTTCAAGATCCGCAAGCGAGGGTTCGTCGTCCATAACGACACGAGCCTGCTTATCAGCAACTGCTTTGGCGTATGGTCCCTCCGCCGCCGCCGGTACGTCAGGAAGACGCGTTTCCTCCGTTTCATTTTGCTCAAGGCCAAGGCCTTACCGGTGGAGAGGCGGTACGCCGCGCTGCGGAAGGTCGGCATGCACTCGTGGCCGGAGTACGACGAGCAAGTCGCGTTCTGGAGGAGCAGGCTGGTGGACATATACTGGGACGCCGCGCCAGCGTGGTACAAGGAGAAGGTCGTCGACTACTTCCGCGCGGCGAGACGATGGCGGCTGCGGCGCGAGTGGTGGGAAGCCCGCTTCGTCATCGCCCCCGTCAGCGCACTCATGCTCGCCGTCGCGAGCTTTCGACTAGTCAAGGCGGTGTTCTCGGGGGAGCGAGTAAACTTGCTACTCTTCACCGTCTTCTATATACTTGGGGCGATTCTATGGCGTATAATGTTGTTCAAACCAAATGCTAGTGCTCTTAAGATGTTGGAGGTACTTTCATAAAGGAGATGTAAACGAAATAATAGAGTGAAAGGACTTTTATTTTTGCACTAGTAGATATGCACACGTGCGACATGCACGTATTTTTATGGTTGTAATAATATAAGACGTCCTATTGTTCTAGAAAAAAAACTCTAAGATCATAGGATATATCACAATGTTTATAACCTGATTAAGTCACAAAAAATGTTTATAACCTGATTTTAGATAACAATTTGTAATAGAAAATTAATATGCATGATTACATAGCATAAATCTATCTATATTTAAAATTTCTAATGCTCTTGGACCCCGACATGCCAGTGTTCCTTGGGTATGTGGCTAACCACACGGCAGGTGGCGGTGTGCGCATGGGCGTCATAACTCACAAACTGGAGGTGAGGCTAGCGGGTTCGAGCGCTAGTTACACCGCATCTCCGTTAGTCTGACGTTAAAAATTATATTTATCGATGAACGATATGTCGCTAAAGATTTTTCACAGATGATTAATCGGTAATTCTACATCTACCGATTTACCATCAGTCGCTTAGATTATCTGTCACTAAATGGACATGTATCATCAATTAGTCCGACGGTAAAAAGTGGGCCCACCTGAGGTGCCCCACCTCCACCTCGCTCGTGCTCGTGCTCAAATTTGGCCCAGCCCGACCCTATTAGTAGTAGCTAACCCTAGCCTGTCTCTCGCCGGCCGCCGCCATGCTCTGCTACCCTCTCCAAAATCGCCCGCCTCGATCTCCTGAGGAATTCCCGCTGCTCGCCTGCAAAATTGCCTACCCTTCTTCCTCCTATTTCAATCCACCGGAGCTCCTCTCAGATTTTGACCACCCCTCTCCTCTCCGGTCCGCTTCCCCACTCCGCATCTCTCCTCTCCCCGCCGGCTGCTGCGAGGCTTCGATGGGTTCCGGGGCCCGGAGATCCAACATGTACCCCATCGGAAGATCTGGTGCCAAGAGATCCAGCGGCGCCCCTGGCGGAGGCTGCACCGGTGGAGGTCGCGTCGGCCCCGACGCCCAGAGCTGCTGGCCGTGCCCTCACGCGTCGGCCACAAGCGGCGCAAGCAGAAGGCATCGTGCTGCCTCTGCCTCCTCAAGCTCGTGCTGCCCTCTGTCTCCTCAAGCTCGTGCTGCCTTCTGCGTCCTCAAGCTCGTGCTGCCTCTGCACAACAAGGTGTGTTTCCAGAGACGGGAGCATATCTTGCATCCTTGATCTAAATATCTTCTCAGATCTAGTGTTAATGGTGATTGGGAGTGGAGCAGCTTGGATTCATTAGATGCGTGGATCTAGTAGTGCTAGGAAAGGCTTCTTGTTTATTGATTAGTTGAGTCTAATAATGTAATATTATACTAAAAATATGCGTCTTATTTTATGAACCAGCATTCTAAACTCAAAGTTGGACATGCAAAGTATGTCAATTTGATATTGTTTGGTTCTGTTATCTATCCAGAAGATAGAGCAGTCCAATAATAGACTCAATTAAAAGAGCGGAAATTTTCTTGAACTCTAGGTTTTTGTCTACCCATAATTAGTTATCAACTTCAAGTCTTATATTCCCTAGGACAAAAGGTCTAATCAAAGAAGAAGTGTTTGACATGAAGTGTGGCATTAATTTAACAGTTTTTTTTCCTTCAGTTTATTTCTCTGAAACAGATGTGTTAGGCCTAGTTCACTGCTAAAAGTAATTGTTAGTCTGGAAATTTCTGCTCTTTGTATATGTGGTAGCTAACTATGACATTGAAGTTAATAAACTCTGCAGCTTAACGCCCTGTTCATTTCGCTGAAATTTGGCTTATGCTGATGCTTATGCTGATTTGTTGTGAGGAAAACATTGTTCGTTTGCTAAAAAGTAGTGCTGAAGAACAGGGCGTAAATGGCCAACTGTAAATGTAAATTGAATGACACCAACTTTATCCTGGTTAACTGTTGTGCTAGTTGACACCGTGCTTGTTCTGCTAGTTAACTGTCATTTTGTGAACCATTTTTTTTATATATTAGATCCAACCACAATTTTCCCACCTCATGATGTGTGACCAGGTCACCAAAGATGGGTGAAGGCAATCCAAAGTGTATGAAATCTTCTGCAGAGAAACCTACCTGGTCAGTTTATGCTGATAACATTTTTGTCAATTTTTTGTTTTCTGTTTTCACAAACTGCCACAAACTGTAGTTACAGAGAATTCAAAGGAGACACCATGGTGCCTACACAATCATAACTTAATTTTGTTGAAACTTCTTTTCCTTAGTAATATTGTCATGCTAGCATATTACATATATTCCTGGTAGTATTCATGTATCTTTTTCACCTAAGGGATCCCGATGAGAAATCCTAAGTCGATCAACAAATGGCATATCTTAAATTTTACTGAATTTTAAGCATGTATTGATCAGAATTATATATACTATCCCATATATTAGGCTGCAATCTGAATTTTTAGGAAGTATTGGTCTGAACTATACTAATCTGAAATTTTATCAAGTCATGATCTAAATTATACTGTCTTGTATAACATTTATTACCTGTTGTTCTAACATTTTCTTACTATATTTGATTTAAATCCCAAACTCTTAAAACTGATGAGGCACGTCATAAAGTTCCAAGGGATGCTCCAAACTTCTAGTGAACCACTGTGTCTTCAGGAGTTAGGAACCTGCTTGAATGGCAAGTAGTAAGCCAATAACAATGAAGGTAAGTTCAATTGACTTGTTAGATATCTCCAATTTCTAATGCTCAACTATTGTCTTGAGTGTTGAGCCTCAAAATAATGTCGCTACCTCTGAAATTGTTACTGCATATGTGAAATAGTAACGAGGAGAGTCACAAACCATAATGTTCTGTTGGCAGTAACTAAGTTATAAGTTGATATGTAGTAGCTGCTGCAGCTATCGATTGTCTGTTTTTAATTTCAGTATGTAACCTGAGTTTTCAGACAGTGTCAAAACTGTTTGTTTTTAGCATTAGCTCCATGTAAGAACTTCTTGTCATCTAATTAATCTACCAGAACATTTGCGAGTGGGCAAAAAATTCTGCCAAGAATTTGTGCATGATTTAAAATGGTATTCTTCATGTGCTTTGCCCTTTTGTATATTCTTCTATATCTAAAGCTAACTTAAAGCATGGGTAATAGAAATACTTATTTGCCTTTTATTAATCTTAGTTTCAGGGACATAATTTGCTAACTGCCTTCAACAGAATAAAAAATGTTTCTAGCATTTAGTTCATGTTCTTGAAAACCCATAATTTTGTTATCATGTTAAATAAATTTTGTTAACTCTAGAATACTCGCACTACACCACAACACTAATATGCCATCACAGACCGATCACTAAGTTAGCGCTGTGAAATAAGTGAAATTATTATATTTTCTCTTGGTGTTATGTCCCTATATGAATTTAATTGTGTTTTTCAATTAAGCACATCTTGCTGCATTGGTCGGAACTGTGTCAAGTTTGAATATTAGATTGACACCAGCTATGTCATTTAGGATCTATGTTTCTGCAAGTTTTTTGCTTTATTTTTGCACATGGCTAATGCTTAATTGAATGGTATAAGATAAAGGTCTATTTTTTTTGTAATGTTCACTGGTGTACCTTTCAACAAACTTCCTGTCAAGTTTGATGTGAAATAATAATATCAATTAAGTGGCTGACCTCCTTGTGTGGTCTGAAGTCTAACTGAACTATAATTGTTACAATTTTAGTAATATAAATACTAGCACTGATTCTCAAATCTCAACCTGTATGTCTTAGTTGGAGTCTAGCACTCTAGCTTAAAGGATGGCAGCTCAAATGGCTGGGCTCTTGATTCTTATACTGTTTGTGCCAATCTAGTTCATGGACTTGTCATTGTTGCTTATAAACTCTGTTTGTTTCATCTTTTTTTTTTTTGAAAGGAATGGCAACTGGGACGTTATTCTTGTCCCTCCTTACAATAATTATGTTTGTTTTGGAGGATGTTCTTATTGTCTCTAGAGGAAATAGATGAGATGGTGAGCTTATCTATGTGAGCTGTTGTAAAGTTTTGGTCAAATTTGTGAAGATGCATGTATGTTTATTGAAGTTGAATCTTAGTTGTGTATTCGATGAACTTTTGAAGCTCAGTGACATTTGTATTTATTGTGAACAATTATTGATGGATTAATTTTTATTTTTTTTTTACTATTTAAAATCGTCTCGTTGGACCGTCTATCGTCAAAACTCTATGTACCATCGCATAGTCTGTTGATAAAAGTGGTAACAGATTATCTATTGCTAAAAGGTTGCAGTCGACTGTATGTCGCTATAAATATTCAGGGCTACATATGATCTGTCGATAAAAGTCTTGGCTGTTGCTAAAGATTTTTAGCGACAGCGTTTACACTGACTGAATAAGTCTGTTGTTATAAATTTTTAGCGACAGATTGTCTGCCACTATATCTGCTTTTAGCGACAGATCATCCATTGTCAATCTCGGTGTTATGGTGTAGTAGGGCCTAGCTACACAGAAACGCTCGCCTCCCTCATTTTTTGGCTAGCCAGGCTAAGAGCCCGTCGGTGGCTAGCTAGGGCCTTGCTGGAGGCCAATTCAGTCAACCATAAATGGCCAAGTTGACTTCATGGAGCCTAATTGAAGGGATAGCCAGGGAAACACACCCACCCTATATATACATGTGGAATCATCATGGTTAATGAAAATGTCAAACATTCCTAAGGCTATTCCCATCTCACTTCTTATTTTATGTAAAACAATGTGTTTTTTAATAATATATGGGCCCTTGTATAATGGAAATAAAATCGCATTATATTGTATACATATACATGTGGAAATCATCATAGTTTGTGGAAATGTCAAAATTCCTAAAGTTATTCCCGTACGTTTAGCATGCATGTGTCTATCAATAAAAAATTATACACAATAAAGGAATAAGAGGGATTTTTTTTTTGAAAAGTCAATCCGTTTAGCGTATAAAAATATTATTGATCCAAACACATGGTCCATGATATTATAAAACAAAAATACAGAAACTGAACTGTAGGCTCATCATAATTGGGTGCCTATATGTTTTCAAATTGGATGGCTCATAATCCCTTATTTTCAGTTTCTGTGCCTGAACACTGAACTATTGGAGTAACATCTAGTTCATGTAAAAGAATTTTACAAATTGTATCACTAAATTACTAATCCTTGACAGTTGTGAGCATAGTTTTTCCTGTCGTTGGAATCATTTTTTGTACAGGAGAAAATTGTGGAGCTGAAACACACTTGTCACTATCTGTTCTACATAAGTGTAAGACTGACATGAAAACCTCAGAATTACACTGAGCTTACTGGGATTTTGACTTGCACATTACTACCGTCTTGAGTCCTGCGTTCCCTCAATGATGGCAGCTGAATCGAGTTGTTGCCACCTCTGTTGCTCTCGCCCTGGCCCAAATCAAGTTCTTAATCACCAGATTGATCTATTTGTAGGTTCATCCATGCCCAAACTAAATCGAGTTCTGAAATCCCTGATTTGATTTGTTTCGCGTCCAATTGGAGTCTTTGAATGACAAATTGAACTTGTTTCGCACAGGAATCGAGTTCCTATTCCTAGTCCGTGGATCGATCGAGCTCGTCCCCATGTAAATCAAGAATCATGGACTGAGCTGTTGTTCAGGAGAAGAAAGGCAAGCGAACCAAACACAGTTGGATGCAACCCTTGCTTTTGCCGAGCGAGACCAAGCACGGCATATATATTAGAAAGAAAAGCGCTTCATCTGTTCAGTCCGGCAGCCCGACGCCCAGGTTCCTCCCGCCGCGCCGTCGCAGGACAACTCGCCCAGGCCTCCACGCCGTGCTGCAGTAGCACTTCCGCACAAGGCCATGCCGCTGCAGCACTCCCGTGCGTGAAGCAGGATGGTGAGCACCAAAGCAAGAATGCATTGTATTTGGATATCCACAAAGATAAAAGCATTTGAAGAGCACACAATTGTTAACCAGATCAAGCACAACTCATACTTGTGTGCTCTGCTTCCAAAGCACTTGAGAGTTGAGAAGGGCAGCAGCTCCAGAGTAGGGGCAATGGCTGCAACTTTCTGTAAACAGCAAGTTAAATCAGAAACTGACAACCACAAGAGCCATGAATTTGCAAAGTAGTAATCCATATTCTAAAATATCAACTATCAACCAAGTATAAATCCTCCATTTGCATTTGCAGGAAGGGCGAGCAACCAAGTAGTAATTCCTTCATGATTTCTAGATTTATACACAACTATCATGATTTCCTTCATGAGCTCCAAAGCAAGAATGCATTGTATTTGGATATCCACAAAGATAAAAGCATTTGAGGAGCACACAATTGTTAACCAGATCAAGCATTTGTTCAGAAATTGTTGATAGATCAGGTGTTGAGACACTGATGCTTCTTTCAATTGCCGTTCGATACGCTTCACAAGCTCCTTCCCACACATCTCTCCACACTTTATCAGCTTCGGAAATCAGCTTGAATTGTGGAAGACATCATCTTCTACATCAGATTGCCCTTGTCAATAGTCTCATTCATCTCCAAGCACTCTGCAGCACGTGGGCAGCAATCACATTGTAAGCATCAATGATCAGTACTCGCAGGAAACGCCAAATTATTGTCCATGTTTGTTACAGTGATACCAAAGGAAACAGAACGACTGAATTGCACATCTAGGTCTACAATAGTTTGTGTTGAAAATCCTGAACAACAGTCCATCTTATTGGTTATCACACTGTTGCCAATTCATTGAAGATCCTATGGCATCTCTCAATATACAATATTCAGAACAAGAAAAAAGTGACAGCCTATTTTGAAATCCTTTTTATCACACTAAAACATTATAAGAAACTCAGTGCATGTCATCTTTTACATCCACTATAATTTTCAGCCAGAGAACTATTTAGGAATAGCACCTGAAGTAAAGGGCCCAAATTCAGTCTAGAAATAGCTGCTACTAAAGTTTGACTACAAGAGTGATGTTTTCCCATGGTTCTCCTATAATGCCAAGTACCAAAAAGATTCATTCATGTGTTTCCTACTGATAGCAAATATCTTGTCCCATGTTTAATG